AACTAAGCGGCAGGTCATGAGACCGAGGGTGGGCGTCAGCCGCGTAGAGAGTGCAGCCGCTGACAATCGAGTGAACAGCAGCACATCCATCGCTAGTGTGAGATCCACTCTCTAGGCCGGCGACTCGTGTGCTAGACGGCAGGGGGTCCAGAGGCAGAGACCGGCAGCAGGACGTCAGCAGTCCCGTCACGCATCAAGCTCAGAAGAGAGATGCCTCCATACCGCGCGCGCTCTCACCGTTGGCCGTGCCGCCACTGTTACCTACGTCATGCCGTAGCCGATGCCCGCGCGGGGCAGAGAGTGTCAGCGCCGTTGTGATGCTCAGCTCGAAATAATCTCTCTGAAGTTACTCCAGCACGAGCACACACACACTACGGTCTATACTCCTATATGCGCATCGTACTAGTGTCCGGCACATCACTGCTTACACGCCATTCGTTCCGCGCGGGTGCTTTGTGGTTTTAGGCGGTGCAAGGTGCGATGCGATGACCACTCGTGATGTACTATCGCAAGCACGCTACCGTCCGACGTCTACGACGCGATTGCTCGGAACGCACTCGGACGTCATCATTGGTCTGCGGGCGTGCGTGAGCTTGCGACAAAGGAAGACCTCGCCGTGTTAATGTAACGCAGAGAGGAGGGAAGCCGCGAGCGACCCCGCGGGAGGAACCGTGGCGAGAGCTCGCGGGCGTGATTCGAGGAGGTGGCTCGTGCATGGCCGTGAGCGGCGAGGCAGGCGTGAGCGTGAACCGTGAGCCCGTGTGATAATACCCTGCCCTGGGTCGGCGGAGCTGTCTCCCTGTGAGGGAGAGTGAAAAGCGAAGCACGAGGGAGAGTGAGAGGAGACGTAGGGAGAGAGAGAGATGTCACTGCGGAGAATTAGACGCCCTACTGTGGGCGTCCAAAAGCTAGAAGACAGCGCTGACGCAGTAATATACGGTCTTTGACAGAGACCGTGCGAGCAGCCTCGCATATCGCTAGCAGTGCGAGGGCATGCGCCAAGCGCATGCCGATCAACAACCACCCCAGCTTCCACGGCGCTGAGAGCGTCTTCGTCTGTTAGCAAGGGGGGGGGTGTAATGTATAGAGCAGTAACAGCATTTGCGTCCATGTGCGGCGTTACACGTAACACGCAGTCTCGCGTCTCTGCTCCAGCAGCGCGTCCCGCCTCTCCATCTCTCCTTGCGCGCCATCTCTCATCTTCTCTCTCATCGCTCTTCGTTCTCTGCTCTTCTCTCTTCTCTCTCTTCTCTCCTCGATCTCTCTCATTCTCAGCTCTCTCGTACTCTTCCTCTCTCTCCTCTCGCTAACGCGCTTCTCTCCGCGTCCTCTCTCTCTCGCTCACGGGCTCCTCTCTCGTCTCTCCTTCTCGCGCACACACGCACGCACACACGCACACACGCACACGCACGCACACACACACACACACACACACACACACACATATATATATATATATATATATACATATATATGGCAAATTGGGAAATCAAGTAGCATTTGCATGTAATTTGAATGTTAATAACAGGATGCCGAGTTTAGCATGTTTGACAAATCGTCGCGAGTTGCTGCTACCTACAGACGTCATTGCTGCTGCTTTAATTCGTGTCGGCTCACAGGGGGATGCCGCGTGGCAGCGGACTTGCATGACGACGACGGAAAACTAATTTTGGCGCAGCGCGGCATGGAGCCTGTGTTAAAGCGTGGCTTTGCGTGCTGTAAGTCGATGCCGTCGCTGCAGGGTTAACATGCCATTTCAGCCATCACCTTCCTGTCTGCATCATTCACGCGTTCGGCGAGGTTTTCGCCGCGGCCGTCGCGTTTTTTTTTTTGCTCCGCACGCGAAACGGAAATTCTTTGGCAGTTGTTTGCTTTCAATGAAATTTGTAATGTGATACCGCCGTTCGACGTGTGCAGTGTAAAGAGAGAGAGAGGTGAGGGAGAGGGTGAGATCGGATGATTTCAACAAGAATGTCATTGTGCGACGAGAGAGTTCTAAGTAGATTGATCCGGCTTACATAATCATCATCGATTACGTTTGCCTGGCAGCAATCATTCAGTGTGTACATACTACATACACGCTATTAAAGCTCATACATACACGAATACACACAGCACATATAATACACGCACCACGAATCCAAATACTGCAATACTGCAAGAATAATGTTCAGCAACGGAAACGGTAGTGGTGACAGTAACAGCAACGGCAACAGTAACAGCAACAGCGACAACAACAACATCAACATCAACATCAGCAGTCACAAAACCAACGACAAGAACATTTATGCTCTGCGCTCTCCACTCCCCACGTTAGCCCGACGTCAGCTCGCCATTTTCAGACATCACACGGAACATAATTCTAGCATCTCTGGCTTCTCCCGCCCCCGCACGCAGTTCATAGTTTTTACTTATGCTTGCTTCTGTAGGGTAGCATGCTTCCATCCCAGGCAACGTGCGAGCAACAGTAACGGGAAGCAACAACACGCAAAGCTCCCGCGAAAATAGTCCGCGCTCATGATAAACCCGCCATCTTGTTTTTCTCGGCAGCAGTTTTTTTTCTCGGCAACTTCGTTTTTCATTCCCAAAGAAAACAGGTGGCAGTCGATCGGCCCGTAGGGGGCGCCACGTGTGCACGACGGCGTGTCTGCCGGATTTATGCCGAAGGGAGTGAGCGAGCCAGAGTTTCGCGTGCTGCGTCGCTGGGCGCGGCGAGACGCGAGGGCGCCACTGCCTCGTTCTTTTCGGCAATAATTTGTGGCAACGGTCCAGCAGTCGCTGCTGCTGCTGCTGCTGCTGCTGCTGCTGCTTGGTGGTGGTGGTGGTGCTGCTGCTGCTACTACTGCTGCTGCTGCTGCTGCTGCTGCTGCTAGCTGCTGCTGCTGCTGCTGCTGCTGCTGGTGGTGGTGGTGGTGCTGCTGCTGCTACTACTGCTGCTGCTGCTGCTGCTGCTGCTGGTGGTGGTGGTGGTGCTGCTGCTGCTA